ATTCCTGCGACCATATCCCTTACCGCTATTCGTAGGAATTCATGCGACTGTATCCCTCACCGCTATTCGTAGGTATTCCTGCGACTATATCCCTCACCGTTTTCTGTAGGTATTCCTGCGACCATATTGCTCACTGCTATTCGTAGGAATTCCTGCGACTGTATCCCTCACTGCTATTCGTAGGAATTCCTGCGACTATATCCCTCAGCGCTATTCGCAGGAATTCCTGCGACCATCCTGACTGCCCCTCAGCGCTATGCGTAGGGATTCCTGCGAACGTATCTCTGACTGCTATTCGCAGGAATTCCTGCGACTATACCCCTCAGCTCTATTCGTAGGGATTCCTGCGACCATATCCCTCACCGCTATTCGTAGAAATTCCTGCGACTGTATCCCTCACCGCTAGCCGCAGAGATTCCTGCGACCATATTGCTCACCGCTATTCGTAAGAATTCCTGCGAGTAATACTCAAAAGCCTCTTTGTTGGGAATCCCTAATGATAGACTACCTGCGAGTTGCATACATACTGCTCGAACTCTATCCGCAGGAATATTTAATATTTTCAACCGCGCATGCCGGCGTGCGTTTTAGTAGCCTAATCTATCGGGGCTATATGGCTAACATGGCAGCAGGGCGAGTGAGAAAACGGCACAGTTTGCAGTGCAACTACGTTGTAGCCATGGCAAATCACCCACTTATAGTGTGAAGGTAGAAATGCATGACAACAGGGGCAGCGAAGACTATAGAGAACCCTTAGGGGAAGTCCCTGTGGTTGATGTCACTGCAGCTCACCTTTAGTAAAACGTTTATATTCCAGCTGGGATGGGATTCACTGTGCGTCCGCGGAGCGTGCGCTTCACGCCGTCGTGCCTCGTGCCGCTCGCGGTCGGACTGGACGAGGGTCGCGCCCGGCGCACACCTGCGGGGCGTTGAGTCCCCACCGCCCCCACGCGGTAGGGAGCGGGGCGGCGGGGGCAGCGGGAGCAGCCCCACTCCCGCGGGCTGTGGCGCGGCGAGACAGTTTCTGGCAATGTCTCCGTTTTTTATCTCCTCCGTCTTTTGCGGTTCGGTATTTCGGATACATCATCAGGCGCGGCCCGGAGGCGTTTTCGCCCAAACGAGATATCCGCGCGCGGATTCACGAAAAAGACGATCGAAAAAGAGCCGGGTGACTTTCCCGGGGAAGTCTTTGTGATAAGGAGAGATGAGTGAGAGTGACCGCATTATTGTGTTTGCGCCGGAAGACTCAGGCACCCCGAGTCTCCTCTGTAGGATAACAACACACACATGTGTCTTAAGCCCTTGCCGTCGCTCATCGTGCACCCGATGTAACGCCCGACGCCGCGTGACGTAACGCATTGTCACGACGTCACGTCCGTCACGGCCCGCATCGTCGCGCAACGCGCACGTGCTTGGCCGCGGGCCCGCGGGGCTGCCGACCAGCGGCGCGAACGATTTCTCATATCATTATCAACACCAATCGCTTTCGATCGCTTCGCGCCACGTGGACATTTTCTTGAACACGAGCAGCAGCTGATTCAAGCGTGCCGGTTTCGAAAG